TCATTGCCATGGTTACAATCCCCCATATCTTCTTTTAAATGTAAAGACTAACTCATACAAGTTTCCAAATGTTAAGCAATTAGAACCAAGGGTAGAATTTAAAATATTTTTTGAAAAATACTTAGATCTATAAATTTCCATTTCTGAGTGATAAGGAGAAATGGATGAACAGGATTCTTAATTGAAATTCCTAAAAATTCCAAAGCTTTTGTGATTTATTTGGTGTTGGTTGGAGATGCCATTCATTCATTTATCCCATCATAGTATTAATTGAAAGGAGCTCTGGTAGGTTATGAGTTGGGCTGCTAACCAAAAGATCAGCAGTTCAAATCTTGGGAGAAGAAAGATGAGGTTTTCTGCTTCCATAAAGATTTACAATCTCGGAACCCTATACAGGGTCGCAACCGACTCCATGGCATATACTCACCACCACCAGTATTCATTGAAGACCTACTATGGTTAGGCACTGGTCAAGGTAATGATCAAAATAGATCAAGTCCTTTTTCTCTCCATGGAATAAAATCTGTGTTAATTTCTCTTTGGTTTAACCCATTCAGTTTATAGATTTTCAAAAGCCAAGTTGCAAATCTTTGAGGCAAGAAGCACTTAAATGAAACAAATTTTATTATTAAAGCATTTGTTGTTGTTGTTGTTAAGTGCTGTCGAGTCAGTTCCAACTCATAACGACCATGTATAGGGTTTCTGAAGAGCAACTGGTAAGGTTGAACTTCTGACCTTATGGTTCTCAGTCCAAGGCTTATCCTACAGCACCACACTAGGAGTCCTATTAAGGCATAGAAATGCCTAATTTCCTCAGCTTGAAAACCTCAAATTTGATTTTTAGAGAGAAAAATAAAAGTATCTTGGAGACTCTGGAGATTCCATTTATTTTCTTGGAGTTAGTCAGGAAACCCTTACATTATGTACATATGTGCAAATGCTTCTTTTTGACAAAACCTATAACGAGTTCCATAAAAAGGAAGATATAAAATCAGTTTGCTACAGATAGAAGCTAACTAATTTGAGATTAATTAAGGAGAATTAAAATTCATGAAAGGCAGAAGTGTGAACATAATTTAATTTTCCTTGAAGGTGATGAAACAGAATTAATTTTGTTTTGGGTTATTTTTTTAAAGCTATTTCTTTAACACATTCAAACAAAGTTGAAAGGAAATGTGGAGGACTTTTTTTCCCCTTGTCCTTCTGTATTTCAGATTGCTTACAAGGCGGATTATAAACATGACATTGTTGACTACAACTATCCGGCCACACTGACTCCTTCCTATCAAACCACCATGAAGCTGGCTCCCTTGAAAGATGTAAGTTATCTTCCGTTAGCTCTGTCTGCTCTCTTATTCTTCACTTCTCTCATGTGGAGTGATTCTTAGTTAGCAAAATGGAAAGGAACAAGACACAGCAGCTTTTAGAAGATGGGAGAAATTGAGAACGAGGAATACTTCCTCACTGGGTGCTCATTTATACTTCATTGCAAGTGCTTAGATTTTCCAGGTAAAATTGGCACAACTCTGGTTTTCATCTTCAAAATGTTCCATGATTCAGTTACTCCTTTTAGCATTTGCTGAGCACTGTCCACTGGGCATGCACAGAAGAATGATTATTTAGTCATGCTGAGTTCTTTATTTTTGTAAGCTTTGGGATATGGTTTATCTAAGGACTTAATGAAGTGGAATGAAATAGATATCAGCTAAAAGGAAATGGTAATGGTGACTTAATTTTTTTTTCTTCTCAAGAGCACTTGGAGAAGTGTGTTGTTGCTGTTAGGTACTGTTGGGGTGGTCCCTACTCATGGTGACCCCATGTGCAACAGAACAAAGCACTGCTTGGCCCTCACCATCCTCACAATTATTGTTACGCTTGACCCCATTGCTGCTGCCTCTGTGCCAATCCATCTCATTGGGGTCGGGCAGTCTTCCTATTTTTCGCTGACCCTCCACTTTGGCAAGCACAATGTCCTTTTCAGGGACTGATCCCTCCCAATAACATGTCAAAAGTATGAGAGATGAAGTATATGTGTACCTTATTTAGTACAGCAGTGATTTTATTTATAATTTGACTTGTCCCAAATAAAATGTATACAATTAATTAAATTTATTGTTTTCTGATCACAAAGTTTTGCTATATGTTTATTATAGAAAATTCAGAAAATGTAGAAAAGTATGAAGAAAAAGGATAAGAATTATCTACTATCTGAAAAAAAAACAAACATTTCAGGAGGTTTAGACCTGAGAGCGTCATGCATCTTCATTAGTGAGACTTCTCTCCAATCAGTCATTTAACAAGCAACTCAACAAATATTTATCAAATGCCCGTATTGTTTTGTAACTGACTTGGGTGTTTCCATCTCTAGATGGATCTTCAAATCTTTCTCTTTTGCTAAATTTCAAACCCCATGAGAATAGGAGCAACTTTGGATTCAGTTGGTTATTTCCAGAGTCTACTCTAACGTCCAAGACAATGAGAGGGTTTTGCAAACATGCAATAAATCAGGGTAATGAAAAGTGACGAGTATAAAAGGCCAGAATTTTTCTCCCTTTCCCAGAAACTTGATTTGGGCTGAATTCCTAATTTCATTTTAATATACCCAAGGTTAGACTTGACCACTGCCAAAGATTTGTCCTTTCTTCATTGCACACATCACCTGCGAATCAGGAGACTCAAGAGCACCCCATTTGAATGTGAATGGACCACATTTAAGAGCACAAACAAATTGGGATGGATTCCTATAACTTTGTAATTCCGTTATGGTAACATGACTTGTCTAAACAAGATTTTGAATTAAGCCATGCCTCTGAAATATAGCCATCCCCTGGAGAATGCTGATGTTAAAGTTAAACTAACCTGAATCATAACATTAAAGGAAGTCGAGGTAGGTTCTAAACTGGCAGCATCAGAGCCAGGCTGAAACACTGGCTCAGCAGCACTGAGTGTACAATCCATAGACTCCGGTAGTCCAGACGTTTGTGGGATCTATCTGCAGGAACATTCATTTGTGGTTTCCCTTTCTATCTGGTGGCCAAATGGCTATGACATTGAATGCCTAATTGGAAAGCATTCCCTTCAGATGGATTTTATAAACACTGATGGACTCCTGGTGTGGTGCTGTAGGATCAGCACTGGACTCCGAATCAGCATCAGACTAGCCGTTCACACCCACCAGCCGCTCCTCAGAAACCCTATACAGGGTCACTGTGAGTCAGAACTGACTTGACAGCACCTAACAACAACAACCAAAATGACATTAAGGACTCAGGTGTGGTGCTATAGCATAAGCATTGGACTGCAGACCACAGGGTCAGTGGTTCAAACCCATCAGATGCTCCTTAGAAATTCTGTACAAGGGTTACTGTGAGTCAGAACTGACTCGATGGCAGTTAACAACAACAATAACATTAAAATAAAACTCTAATCTCAGTAAAGATATCCTTCAGAATGTAGGCTGAAACGATGACCAAGCATTTGTGATGTTGCATAGATTTGATTAATCACGAGGACTGTTAATTATGTCCTGCAGAGAAAAGTAATTGTGCCCTGCAACATACTTAACGTGTAATTATCGAGAAGGAATATGCCATTAAGAAATAGTTTTCATCACATTTTATCATGCATAATTCTGAATTCTAATAGACTCTTTATTCTGAGATGATAATTTTGCCTCTGAATTAATGCATTAAGAAGGCACTGTACTCCTAATCTCATTAATAATTGACATTGAAATGACTTTATATTTCCTGGTTTTCCCTATAGTCCCTACGTCCAAACCTCAAAACAGGCCAAACTTTTCTCAACATAAATTGACGTTGTCCTTTATTGCAAAATTTCATGAAGTATAGTGAACTCCAGTGTCAAGAGCCTTCTCTTTTTCCTAGATCCTATTCTAGAGCTTAATTTGTCAATCATTTGTTTGCATCTGGGCTATATTTCCTTATATAAATAATGCTAGTTCTGGCTGTTGGGAATGCCTGTCAGTTTGTAAAAGAACATACAGTAGTTTGGGTAGAACAAGTACTAACTTTGGTAGATTCAGGTTTATAGTGTAAAGAAACAGACTGTGGGGATCTGAATTCTAGTTCTGACACCGCTGCTCCAAAGGAGAAAGATAAGGCCGTTTGTTTCCTTAGAGATTGAAAGCCTTTGAAACCCTATTCTGTTCTATAGGGTTATATGAGTCAGTAGGTTTAGTTTGGATTCATATAGGGTATATCTTGCATCAATCTCCTTTGAGATATAAAAGAGACTGGTGTGGCACTGTAGGATAAGCACTGGACTACTAGCAACAAGGTTGGTGGTTCAAACCCACCAATGACTCCTCAGAAACCCTATACAGGGTTCTGAGTCAGAGCTGACTTGCCGGCACTTTAACAACAATGAAAGATGGAGTAAAATATATGCCAAAATACATAAACATCTCTGAGCACCCAGAAAGCCTTCTCCTGGAGCCACTGTTGTTGCTGAGGGCCTTTGAATCAGTATTCAAATCTTTGATGCATTATTTTTCTGTCTATGGACTTGGAACATCAAACTAACTGAATCATTGACTCTTTTTCTAGTAAGTTTGAGACCAGTTGGGCCTAAGGAGCTAAGGAACTGTCAGAGAGAAGAGCAAGTGACTTCTTCTTATGCCTCTTTTTACCCAGGTCAACTACAGGCAAAACATCGACAAGCTGAAGTACAGCTCTATTACCAACACTCCTCAGATTGTTCAGGCCAAAATCAACGCCCAACAGCTGAGTCATGTGAGTCTCTCTCCCTGCCTAGCTATGTCAGGGTGCCTTGGTATTGTTTTCTAACTTTTGGTTATCTGACTCCCCAAAGATTTGGGGTTCTTTAATGGTTCGTCTGCCAGTTTGTACTGGGGTGGCTTGAGTGCTGCTGTGATGCTAGAACCTATGCCACCAGTATTTTATTAAATCCCAGCAGAATCACCCATGATGGAGGAGTTTCAGCTGAGCTTTCAGACTAACACAGACTAGGAAGAGGAGAGCCAGACTATTTCTGAATGTTTAGCCACTGACAATCTTATGAATAACAGCATAACTTTGTCAGATATAGTTCCGGAAGATGAAAACATTATGAATAGCACCAGAATATTATCACAAGGGGTATCATTGCTGATGTCAGATGGATTTGGCTGAAAGCAGAGAAGATGGATTGACACAGTGACATCAGCAATGGACTTGAACGTAGCAACTGTGAGGATTGTGCAGGACCAGGAAGTGTTTCATTCTGTTGGACACAGGGTCTCTATGAGTCAGAGCCTACAGGATGACACCTAAAATAAGCAACAGTGTTGGCATACATATCTTTCAGAAAATTCTTAACACTCATGAAGTGACTCCTTGTCTTAAGCTTTTTATTATGGAGAACTTCAAATACCTTTCGAGGTAGAAACAATTGTATAAGGAATCCCCACCCACTACGATGTAACTTCCACACTGACCAGCTCCATCCATGTGTCCCTCAACTTCCACTCGCAGATTGTGTTGAAGACAGTCCCAGGAATGATGTAATTTCCTCTATAATCATTTCTGTAAGAATCCCTAAAATAGTAAAAAATTAACCATATTTTGATATTTTTGACATACCACAGCAAAAACTTAGCAATAACTCTTATTATCCTCAGTGTCCAATTGTCTCATGATTCAGAATTTCAATTGCCTCATAATGTTACAATTTGTTTACAGTTTCTTTGAATCGGGATCTCAACAAGGTCCATTTTGTGATCTTCTTTCAAGTTATTTGCTTTAAAAAAACTGGATTGTTTATCCTGTAAATTTTTCCAAAAGCCTAAATTTTGCCAGTTGCAGAGCGCTTTTAACGTGTTCCTCTGGCCTCTGAATTGCCTATAAAATAGTAGTTGGATCTATAGACTTGATCAGGCTTGGCTTTGATTTCTGTTTCTCAGCTGTTTTCTTCCATCAGAAATAACATAATGTATGGTTGACTGTCTTTTTTAATTCATGGATTTTTAAATTGTTTTATAGTTATATATATATATATTTGTTGTTATTGTTGTTGTTGTTAAGTGTCATCGAGTCGGTTCTGACCCATAGCTACCCTGTATAGGGTTTCCGAGGAGCAGCTAGTGAGCTTGAACTGCCGGCTTTGCAGTCTGGCGCATTAATGCACAGCGCCATAGTGCCATCAAATCAGTTCTGACTCATAGAGACCCTGTATAGGGTTTCTGAGGAACAGCTGGTGAGCTTGAACTGCTGACTTTGTGGTTCGCATCCAGTGTTGCTCCTACAGCACCACACCAGGAGTCTCTTTAAATGTTGTTGTTGTTAAGTGCAGTTGTGACTGTTCTGACTCAAAGCAGAAGGTTTCCAATGAGTGGCTGGTAAGTTTGAACAGTCAACCTTGTGGTTTAAGCTGACCTTATGGTCGAGTGCTTATCCTAGGATTCTCTCTCTCTCTTTCTCTCTATCTATATATTTGTTGTTGTTGTTGTTATGTGCTGTGGAGTTGGTTCCAACTCATAGTGACCCTGTACAGGGTTTCTGAGGCTGTAAATCTTTACAGGAGCAGAAAGCCTCATCTTTCTCCCGTGGAACAGCTGGTAGTTTCGAACTGCTGACCCTAAGGTTCACAGCCTGATTCATAACAACTACGCTATCAGAGCGTGCTGTGTATGGTGCTGTGGGTTAATGCGCCAGGCTTCAAAGCTGTTTGAACTGCAAAGTTGGCAGTTCAACCTCATCAGCTGCTCCTTGGAAACCGTATACAGGGTCACTGTGAGAACAGACTTGATGGCATATATACTTATTTCTGGTGTGGCACTGTAGGATCAGCACTGGACTGAAAACCAGAAGGTTAGCAGTTCAAGCCCACCAGCCACTCCTCAGAAACTCTATACAGGTTTAAACTGACTTTGTAGCCTAGCACATTAACCCACAGTGCCACATCAGGACTCCCTGTATATATATATATATACAGCAAAACATTTGCCAATTCAACATTTCCATGTTATCTCACCACTGACAGCTGAAAACCAGCATGCTCAGCTCATTTTCAGGTGATTGAAGTTGGCTTTCGTCAGTATAGGCAGTCATTGGAGAATGACCCTGCATATCTGCTCTGGATCTAGCAAGATGTTTCACAAACAGCAAATAAGAAAGTTTCCCGTTATTTCAAGTGCTTGTAAGGAGAGTTGGTGAGCCAGTCAAGGAGACGGTTTGTTTTGTTGTGTGTGTGAAACTCACAGCTTTGAGAGCATCTCTGGGCTGTTTTACTTTTCATCTGGCATGTTCAGTCTATTATTTTAAAATATTTATAAAACCACAAGCTTCCTTCTAAAATCCAGAAACTCCATCTTATTTGTAAGTGGAAAAGAGAATGTTTTCTACAAGTTTTCCTTCTGCCCATATAAAAGCCCTGCATTTGCTCTGTTGATTTATCTCTAATCCAACAGGTGAATTACCGCGCTGATTATGAGAAAAATAAGCTGAACTATACACTGCCACAGGATGTGCCTCAGCTGGTGAAGGCCAAAACCAATGCTCAGCTATTTAGCGAGGTGAGCTAGTAACTTGGGTGAGAGCATGGTGGCAGGTTATGTATAGATTTCAGAAAAAAGGGTCGTTGGGGGTTCCAACAGGTAGGGAGTATTCCACTCATGAAAGAGGGTCATCAGAGGCATCGTTCATACTGCAAACATGAATTCTGCTGTCTCACAGCACACGGTACTTCACTGGGGATAGATTGATTATAGCAGTTTAATATGTGTTCTCTGAGCATACATACAATACACACACACTCACACACATCATTATCCTGGTGACTTCTAACTTGTGCTTGACTGTGTGAAGAACATTTAAGCATTTAAAACATTGATCTCATCGTAATTATTAGCTTCCTCCTGGAGTCACAAATAGGTTGTGATTTGGCTTTTCATTCTCAATGGAATTTGCAGGGAAAGGAGAAAAAAAAGTAACTAACTGTTTTTGAATTCTTTTCCTATACCAGAAGGACCCCTGGTAGCACAGTGATTAAGTGCTCAGCGTTAACTGAAAGGTTGGTGGTTTGAATCCACCAGTGGTTCCATAGGAGAAAAGATCTGTTCTGTGAAGATTACAGTCACAGAACTCTATGGGGCCATTCTACCCAATCCTATAGATGACAATGAGTTATGGGTTCTATGCTGAACATTGGGCGTGGCACTTTAGATATTGAGTTACACCCACCCCTCATTTATCCACATGGTTAGGTTCCATAGACCAGGTCATCATGCAATATTTGCTCTTATGTGAAAATGGAGGACAACCACATCAGATCACAAAGTGGAAGATAACTATATCATTTCATTATTGTTGTTGTTGTTGTTGTTGTTAGGTGTCATCAAGTTAGTACTGACTCATAGCGACCCTATGTACAACAGAATGAAACACTTCCTGGTCCTGGGTCAACCTCACAATTGCTGTCACACTTGAGCCCATGGATACTGACGCTTTGCCAATATATCTCGCTGGAGATCTCCCTCTTTTTCTCTGACCCTCCACCTTACGAAACATGATATCCTTCTCCAGCGACTGGTCCCTCCTGACAATATGTCTGATGTATGAGAGACGAAGTCTGGCCATCCTGGCCTCCAAGGAGCACTCTGACCGCACTTCTTCCAACACACATCTGTTTGTTCTTTTGGCAGCCCATGGCACTTTCAATATTCTCCTCCAACACCATAATTCAAAAGCATCAATTCTTCTAAGGTCTTGCTTATTCACTGTCCAGCTTTCACATGCATATGAGGTTCTTGAAAATACCATGGCTTGGGTCAGGCGCACCTTAGTCCTCAAGCTGACATCTTTGCTCTTCAACACTTTAAAAAGGTCTTATGCAGCAGATTTACGTAATGCAATATGTCATTTGATTTCTTTATTACACAACTGCAAAATTTACAGCATTACATCACTGCTAAAATTACTTCATTACGTAACTGCCAAACCGCTAAGAGTCCTGGCCAGGCCAAGAAGACACAACCTGAGCCATTATAGCCCCTGTTACTTTTGCCTTGCGCCTCAGCATTTGTTACTGCCAGATGTACGTCATTAATATGCAAACTAGTCAGATAGCAGAATTTTCACAATGGTCATAAATGAGAAATGTGGGGTAGCGAGATAGTCAAGAAGTGAGGAGTAGATTTATTCAATTCTCTCTCAGAAGGTCTTGTGGGGACAAGTTAATGATACGGGCCTTGGTATCAGATAGACCTGGGTTCAGATGTCAGCTCTGACAGTTTTTACTCATGTGCCTTGGGTGAGCTCTTTAACATTTCTGAGCCTCTAGACTTGTTGCAAAAAGTTACAATTATTGAGTACAAAACCCTTAGGAAGGAGCCAATAAATGGTAGCTATCATTGGACTCCTGATATGGTGCTGTGGGTTAATGAGCTGGACTGCAAAGTCCGTTTGAACCACAAGGTTGGCGGTTCAAGCTCACTAGCTGCCCCTTAGAAACCCTATACAGGGTTGCTGTGTGTCAGAAGTGACTCAACAGCACTTAACAACAACAACATTACTACCATGGATCCATGGGTGGCAAAAAGAGTTAAGTATTCGGGTATTTCGAAAGGTTGGAAGTTAGAATCCACCCTCTCACAAGGACACAGACATGGAAAACCTATGGAGCGAAGTTCTTCACTTAAACACATGGGTGACCATAAGTTAGACATGACTGGACTGTGGTGGGCTTGTGGTTTTTTGTTTTGTATCATGACCACAATTATATAAATGCCGTATGTCTTTGTTGTTCTTAACAGTTTAGAATCTACTTTAATATGCTGCATCCAGTGTAGTCTCATATTAGACAGATAATATGATATTCCCTTGTAAGATGGTGAACTGAGGTCCAGAGAGGTGCAGTGATTTTTTCATGACCACGTGATGAGGAAACCATGGAGCTAGGATGATCACATGACTCTTCTCTTTGTCAAGTTTCATCACTACCTCTCTGCATGGCCCTACAGCTAAGCAGTCAATTAACTGTGCTAGGAATTATTATTATCATTTGAATCACCAAGGCCAACATTCTATTCCACAAATAGATGAAGAGACCAGCTTTGCTTTTTAAAAATGTATATCTTCTTAGACTTTTGGTAAGCATTCGGATGACACCTCTGACTCACCTGTGATTTTGTTTGTCAGGTTAAATACAAAGAAGATTGGGAGAAGATGAAGGGGAAAGGATTCGAGATGAAGCTGGACGCTATGTCTCTGCTGGGTGCCAAGGCCTCTGGGGAGCTTGCCAGCAATGTAAGTTTTCTCTCATTAGCTCGGAAATGCATAAGCATTGGTTCCAATAAAATATCGGTGGCCCCACAGGAAAAAATAATGATTGTTAACATTGTAAACATCATGATACTTGAATATTTTTCTGGATCCGGGAAAGACTGGGAGATGTCTTTTCAGAATCACTTCCTTTCTTGTTAAAACCAGAGCCCCTTAGATGGCAAAGTTTTTCTCTCACCCAGAGTAAACTTTCTTCTTTCTCTCAAGATTAAATACAAAGAAGAATATGAAAAAACGAAAGGCAGAGTCATGGGCACCACAGACTCCAGGCTCTTACACTCCTTGCAGGTGGCCAAGATGAGCAGCGAGGTAAACCTTTTCTAGCTCTCCACTCTTTACTGAGAGTTGGGTTAGTTGGAAAGTTTTTCCTACTTCATCCAACTGGCACTATCCCTTTTTAAAAATGAACTTCCATCTGTCTGAAACCTCTTTCTTTCCTGGCTTGTATGAGCAGGATTGTTTCAGTTTCTTTGTTTTGCCAAACTGTAGCCATTCTGTTAAAGTAGAGGAGACATGTAGTCCTACGAGTGGCCAGCATCCATGGATCTAGGTACAAACGTGTTTGACCCTTTTGACATTTGTTCATTTCATAGAAGCTGACTGAGCAAGTATTATGGAAAGAGAGTGGGGCCATAAGAATTAATAATGCATGACAAGTCCGTCCCCTAATGGAACTTAACTCTATGGGGAGAGTTTGATTGCAAGCATCCCGTCTAATGCCCTCTGGTGTCCTGGGTGAATCCTATGGTCACAAACATGAGTGGTATTCCAAATTGTCAACAAAAACTTGGACAGTCCAGGTTCCATCCAGTCAGTATGAAGTTACCTTATAAATAGCTTTGATGGTTGGAGATTAGCCTTGGTAAACATGATAAATAGCACTTCCCAAAAGCCTTTGGAAAAGGAGAGTTCTGTTAGAAGTAGAGACATGGTTTCAAATAAACTTTTTCCGGCTGGTGTTGAACGGGCCAAATGGACACATGAGTGTTGGGTTTCTACTTTAAGATTGCCTACTCCAAGCTGGGAGGCTGACATGTGCTGCTGTAATGACGAAGTTGAACGTAATCACCTGATCCGTCACTAGGAGCCACAGCTTGAATAGAATCGGACTGTTATATCTAGGTCGCCAGTTTGGATGTGCCTTCAGCACAAGCATGGTCATAAAGCATAAAGAGATACTGACAGCTTGGTTTAAGTTTAGACAGAGGACACATTGGTATTTCATACTTGTAGTTGGAGCATGAAATGAGAAAGATCTTGCCCAAGATCATACAGTAGCCACTTGTAGTGATGGAAGGGTAGAGAATTAGACCTTAGAACTCTTACTTCTAGACTCTATTCCTGTGTGATTCAAACAAGAGTGCATCTTCATCTTGCACCTCTGCCTTTCCCCAGCACCACACCATCATTACAGACACCACCACCACTATCACTGCCATCAGCACATTACCATGATCGCCACCACCATCATCATTCTGTTGGCTAACATTTATCAAGTGTTTGCTCGGTGCTAATGTCTGTAGTAACCAGGTTTCAGCTATGATTTTATTTATTTAACAAGACAGTCCTTTGAGGGAACTGAGCCCTGAGAAAGGTGACGTACTGTCTGAGTGGTCACCCAGCTGGTAAAGAGCAAGTCCTAATTCAAACTCAGACTTGTCTGACTCTGGAGGCCCAGCCGTGTTGTTATGTGTCCCAAGCCCTCCATGGATAGAGCACTCACCTCCTTAAGCAGCCTGGTGAAAAAGTTAGGACTGGCCAGAGGTTTTCCTTCCGGAAACAGACTGGTGGGAAGCTCAGCTGCCATCAGTGTTGTCTTGCCCCGGGATGGGTCCCCCTTGCCCTGGATGCCAGTTCCTCACTAGAGCCTGGGTTCTCTCCCAGGTTTTCACACCAGCCTTGCAAAACAGGCTTTAATGAATGGCCTTGTGTTTTGTGCATTCAAGGTTGAGTACAAGAAAGGCTTTGAAGAGAGTAAGACCCACTTTCGCCTGCCCATGGACATGGTGAATATCAGGCATGCTAAGAAGGCCCAGGCTCTCGCCAGTGACTTGGACTACAGGAAGAAACTACACAAGTTCACTGTGCTGCCTGAAGACATGAAGACCTGCTGGGCCAAGAAAGCCTATGGGCTCCAGAGTGAGGTGGGCCCTCTCATCCCCCCTTCTTACCAGGCATCTCTTATAATCGGAAGCAGGGACATTGTCTCAGGGATTTCAAGCCTGTGCATGAGTCTTCTACACAACTCTGAATGGGAGTGCCGGGAACTCACTTTAAGATGCCTTAGTGTTCTTAACGAAGCTGGGAAGAACAGCTAGAGTGGTACTGGGCCCAGGGAGGGCAGATGGGGAGGTAGGAGGGTGAATGAGGAGGTAGAGATGCACACATGGCTGAGAGAATGGAGACTAGACTATGGCAGAGTTGGCCTTAGAGCTGTTGAGGAAGTCAATGTGTGTTGGTAGTAGCCATGAGGAAAGGGGAAGTAAATGTGGGAATGGTGAGAAGATCTTGGGAATTTAGCAGGTTGGCAAAAAATGTCCCTGGGTGGTCAAAAAGTATGAAAGGCCCTATTTTTAGTGAAGCTGTACTGTTTCAGTGCTAAGGTAGAATGTGATGTGATTACAAAGGGGGTCCAGGGCTTCACCTGCGAATTAGACTTGGGCCTGACTATGAAAGACAAATGCAGGGCCAGGGGGTTCCTGGCTCTGCCCTGAATTCTGCTCTAGCTCCATCCATGTGTCTGGTGGGAGCCTGGGACGTTTTCTCCTACAGCTGCAGTACAAGGCTGACCTGGCGTGGATGAAGGGAGTCGGGTGGCTGACCAAGGGGAGCCTCAATTTGGAACAAGCCAAGAAGGCTGGTCAGCTGGTCAGCGAGGTAACCTGAGCCTGAGCACCTGGCTTCTAGTATTCTGAGCCGCTGAGTCACTCACTGGTGTGATCTTTTCCCATGACCCCTTTACCCCATACCTCTATGCAGGCTTATTTTGTGTGCTTCAAACAAGAGTGCACCTTCATTTTGCACCTCTAGCACCCCCTGAACTAACATTCTGCAGACTTCAGTTTCAAGGGATGGTGTTGGTAAGAATGTTTTAAGCAGCAGCGTCATCCAAAGAACAATTTAATTAAAAGATTTCTAACCCAGTGGCACAAGGCTAAGAGGAACCCTGGTGGAGCTGTGGGATAGATGTTGGATTACTAACCAAACGGTTGGCAGTTCAAAACCACCCGTTGCTCCACGGGAGAAAGATGAAGTTGTCTGCTCCTATAAAGAATTCCCATCTCGGAAAACCCTATGTAGGGTTGCGATGAGTTGGAATCGACTTGATGGCACTGGGTTTTGGTTAGGGACAACAGTTAAGTACTTGGCTGCTACCGAAAACTTGGTAATTAGAACCCACCACTAGTTCTGTGGGAGAAGACCTGGTGATCTATTCTGTAAACATTGTTTTTGTTGTTATTAGGTGCTGTCGAGTCCCTTCTGACTCGTAGTGACCTTATGCACAACAAAACGAAAGATGGCCCTGTTCTGCACCAACCTCATCATTTTTGTTACACTAGCCCCCTTATCTTCTAGTTTTTTCTTTAGTGTAACACTTGACTTTTTGGTTTCATTTCAGATAGATGAGTGTTTTTATGGAACTCTGTAACTCACAGATAGCATCCTTTATTATCTTGAGTCCATTGCTGTAGGCACTGTGCCAACCCATCTCATTGGGGGTCTTCTTCTTTTTCGCTGATGGTCCACTTTATAATCTTTGTAAAGATCATAGCCTAGAAAATTCTGTGAGGCCATTCTAGTCTGTTGTGTAGGCTTGATATGTGTCAGAATCAATTTGGTGGCACATGACAAAAACAACATCTAGTTGGAGTCTTTAGGTTGTGCAGATAGTGACTGTGCTCAGTTGCTAACCAAAACGTTAGAAGGTCAAGTCCATCCAGAAGTACCTTGAAAGAAAGTCTTGATGTTCTACTTCTGAAGAATCAGCTATTGAAAACCTTGTGGAACACATGGGATCTCCATGAATTGGAATTACTGGCAACGGGTTTACTATGCAGTCAATTAACAACGGGAACAGTTTGTCTCTTGTGTGAGGAATATATGCAATTTCTTTGAATCAGAGAGTTCCATGTTTGAAAGCCAGCATTATCATTTGTGGCCATGCCACAAACTCACTGGAGACTGGCTGAGTCACTTAACTGTTCCGTTTCTTTTTCTATCCCATAAAAATAAGAAATTTGGACAGAGTACTCTTAAAGATTACTTCTGGTTCTGCCTGCTCATCTCTTCCACCTTGTAAAGCTGGATCTTTTGAAGGCATTTCATTTGATAATGTGACTCTATCAGGAACTCTGTTTGATATCCTCAAAGGGAATTCTTGTCTTGGGGTCAGGCAAGCTGAGTCAGCATATCTCTTACAAATGATAATGATTGTTGTTGTTGTTAAGTGTCGTCCAGGCAGTTCCAACCCATGGCAACCCTGTGTAGGGTTTTAGAGGAACGGCTGGTGAGCTTGAACCACCATCCTTACAGATCAAACCAACTTTGCCGTCCAGTGTGTGAACCCACAGCACCATACCAGGACTCCAAATGATAATGATGTTGTTGTTAAGTGCCGTCGAGTCAGTTCTGACCCATAGCAACCCTGCATAGGGTTTCCAAGGAGCGACTGGTGAACTTGAACCACCAAGCTTGTAGTTCAAATGGCTTTGCATTCTGGCGCATTAACCCACAGTGCCACACCAGGACTCATAGTGGTAATTTATTTACGGACAATAGTTATGTGATCATTGCTGTCACTTGTTGACATTGTGAGTGTCACACACACATTGCTCCATTGCTCCTCACAATAATCCTGGGTGGGTGACACTGTTATTATCCTATTGATAGTCCCATTTCACACATGAGGAAAGTGAGACTTGACATCAAGTTCCCATCGGTAAACAGCAGAGCTGGGGTTTGTACCTCACAAGTAATTCTGTATCCCAGAACATGCTTGGAATTTATTATTATTTTCCACCACAATCATGTTTCTTTCAGACAAAGAACTATTTAGGGTTAGCGTATATAGATAGGGTGGTAAAAGGAAGAATAACCCTTTTGGATTATTATTATCTAGATTTTGGAGACCAACTAAAATCTAGATGGAGCGTCCAGAGCCTGCCTGTCTTGGGCCAACTCAGTCTAGACGTGTCCCAAGCAGCTGATTCCTCAGCCTTAGGAATGTCTGTTTCTATCTTCCTTCTTTTGCTGCTACGTTGATCAAGTCATTTCAATGTATTATCATTTCTACTTCCCTCTCATCCACTTGTGTCGGACACCAGCTACACATGGACCACTTCCTTTTCTGACTTTCACCACCTAGAGCCAGGCCAGTGCTCACAAGTCAAAGGGTAGTCCTTCAGATGGTTGAGCTGGCCCAAGACTCCAGATGCCAGCCTACAACATCCACACTTCTGATCTGCTGGCTACAAATTCAGGGGTTCCCTCTCCCCCTCTCAAGATATCAGCTGTAAGCTCAGAGGTCTCACATCCCTTCACTTCTGACCTGCTGACTCCTACTTTTCCCTTGGGTTTAATAGATGACTCATAACATTTATAGGAGCACGGTGGCACTGATTAGAGATTTATCATAGGAAAAATAATACAAAGGAAGTGACACTCAGGGCAAGGTCTGGGAGAGATCTCAATGTGGAATATTCGTATCTCAAAAAAAAGATGTGGTGTCCTCCCACCTGTTATTGGTGCTTCACCAACCAGGAAGCCCATGGAACATTCCTGTCCAGAGTCTATATTGGGACCTCATTAAGTAGACATGGTTGGTGGAATCATGCCTTCCCCCTAAGATCCGCGGATAGCACTCAAACCTTACGTATTACACCGAAGTAAAAAACCCTTAGGTGTGGTCTAGAGTCCTCACCAAAGAGACTTCATTCTTTGTGGAAAGGTCCAACATATTATTTTAAGATAATATTTAAGATTTGGGTGAATGTTTACAAAACAAATTAGTTTCCCATTTGACAATTTCTTCATAAATTGTTTAGGGTCATTCGTTACATTTTCCATAACGTGTCAACATTCTCTTCTGGTTGTTCCATTTCCAGTATTCTAGTTTCCTAGCCCTCTTCTCTTCTAGTTTTTTCTTCAGTGTAACATTTGACCTTTTGGTTTCATTTCAGATAGGTGAGTGTTTTTATGGAACTCCATACTCACAGATAATATCCATTATTTTCTGTGCCAATCTGTTGTTTTGATAAAAGGTGACCCTTAGATGATAGTTTTGCTTTAAAGTTTAAAGAGCTTCTCAGGGTGATAGTCTCAGGGAGTCCTCTAATCTCAGCTGGTCCAGTAAGTCTGGACTTTGAAAGGATTTGGGTTCTGTTCTGTACTTTTCTCTCATTCTAGAGGGTCCATCTATTGTGGCCCTGATCTAAATGATCTGCAGAGGTGGTCAGGTACCACTTCTTCTGGTCTCAGGTGTACAAGACTGTGATGTATGTAGGCCTTTAGCCCCGGAGACTAGTGTCTTCTCTGAGACTTTGGTTAAAGGGTGAAGCTTTCAGCAGTTCTCTCTCAGGAACCAAGGACAAAGAAAGACCAGATTCTTTGAGTAAAGTTAAATTCTTTACCTCACAGCCACCAACCAATTTTTAAATTCCTTGGGGGCTCCTTTGCCCATCTCTGTTTTGATCTTTTAATGTGCTGCCGTTGTTGTTGTTAAATGCCATCCATTCAGTTCTGACTCATCGTGAACCTATATAGGGTTTCCAAGGAGCAGTGGTGGGTTTGAACTGCTGACCTTATAGTTCACAGTCTAGTACAGATCCACAGTAACACCATACCAGAAGTTCTTTTAATGTGTGAAGTCCAGTAAATGGTGGATTCTTGGCTTCTCATTAAGTACTTACGACTTGAACAATCTAGGGACTGGGATGACTGGGAATTTCCAATAGTGAAGGGCTATGTGACTTCCTTCACTTATATAAGTGCTGTTGAGTTGGTTCCGACCCATAGTGGCCCTGTATAGGGTTTCCAAAGAGTAGCTGGTGAGCTTGAACCACCAACCTTGTAGTTCAAACAGCTTTGCAGTCTGGCGCATTAACCCACAGCGTGTATGGTGGAGGGTAGTTTCCCATTTTGCATGGTCAAACTAGGGAGGAGAATTAAAAGTCTCTTTGGAATATTTTCCCTAGATTTGTTTTTATTTTTTTTCAAAATGGAAGAAATTTGTGGTGTTGTAGGATAAGTCCTGGACTGCTAGCCACAAGGTCAGCAGTTCAAACCCACCAGCTGCTCCTTGGAAAATCACAGGGTCACTATGAGGCAGAATCGATTGGCTCTTAACAACATTAAAATCCCAAGCACGATTTTGGCCTCAGTCAGTGGCAGTTGGTGGCTGTCAGAACTAGACTGTGAGTTTACCTTTGACCAACCCTTCATATGAAGCAAGTGCTTCAACAAACCATCCTCATTGGTGGATTTCCCCAGGGACTTTGGCAATACCACTGGAAAAGGCTGAGTCCTTATCTCCAGGGAGAATAAGAAGTCCCTTTAGGGACAGAATTAGCACAGTCAGAACTTTGCCAGTCTGTTTGTAGCTGTGAGACACTCAGAGGACAAGACCTCAGTGATCCGGAAAACTCAGAGGCTGTGAGGTTGAGTGTGTGCTGATCCCTAACCCTAAACATTTCCTCGGTAATCACAACACCATGAATAGTGGTCATGCTGATGGACTGAATGCTTACTTAGTACCACTGAGTTTGTTGTTGTTATCAAGTCACTTCCAACTTATAGCAACCCCTAAGGACTGGTGTGACGCCGTTGGGTAAACACTGGACTGCTAATTGCAAAGTTGGTGGTTCAAACCACCAGCCACTCCTTGGAAACCCCATATTGGGTTGCTATGAGTCAGAACTGACTTGATGGCACTTAACAACAACACAATGACCAAGGACAGAGCATAACCGCTCCATAAATTTGTGGCGTCTGTAACCTTTATGGGAACATATTGCCAGGTCTTTATCCACTGAACCATTGGTCTGCTGGATTCAAACTGAAGACTTTCTGTTGGCATGCCATTGAAACCTCTGCGGTGTCTCAGAGTTTCTGAGTGAGGAATTGCTGTCCCCACTTAACACCTGCAGCCAGATGGCTCAGATCTCTTAAGTGATTTGGCCAAGATGAAGCTGGAAAGAGTTGAACTTAGGTCTTCGGGATGGTAAAGCCCGAGATTCTTCCACCTCACTATGTTTCCTCACACTTCTGTGTCAGCTCTAGAGTTCTAAAATGGACACATTCCAGGCCACACAGTGAAATACAGAATTTCCTGATGGGAAAAATGACAGTCTCCATTAGTAATAGCTACCAAAGCAAGCTCATCAAAGTAGTGGTCTTGGGGCTACGTGGCCCTGTTTCAACTGCAGGACCACCCTGAACACCCTCTTAAGGTTGTACTTGGGCTACAGAAAGACTATAAGTGTGCATGCATGTGTGGGGTGGACAGCTAGTCCTCACACTAAGGGTTTCTTTTCTTTGGAAACAGAAAAACTACAGGCAGAAAGTCGATGAGCTGAAGTTCACCAGTGTGGTAGACAGTTCCCAGATGGAGCATGCCAAGAAAAGCCAGGAGCTGCAGAGCGAGGTGAGTCTGAGGCCGCTCCTTTTCCCTCCAAGCTGCTGTGTCATGGGTCTGGGAACTTCCCGGAAGAACACCATCAGGGAACCAAAGAGCCTTCTATTTAAATAGACCGCACCCAGTTTCAGCAAGATTCCAGGCCGTTTCTGGGAATTGGACACCACCACATTTTCCTTGGTTATAAGGGATAGCTGCAGAGCGGACAATTCCTTTCCTACTTTCAGCATTCTCTGGTTCCTTCTTCTGTTTCTTAGCAAAGACTCTATAATTCTGGAGCCAGTAGAGAAATATCTTGGAAAAGGAAAACGTTTGCCTGTGGAATGTGTGCAGGCCATGTCTACGTGAGTTCAAACGTGGAAGACAGAACAATAAGGCACCATGAACATTGTTCTCACAGTACTGTTCAATAACCATTCACTGTGCCCCTGCACTGAACAGGGGCCAGAGAAGCTATCAACCTGGCTAGGACCTTCCTAGTTTTCCTTCCTAAGGGTCCAGGCCCACCTGCCAGAAAGGATGTTGTGTGTTGTCAGTTGCCGTCATTTTCCATTCATAGTGACCGTATGTGCAGCAGAAGGAGATACTGCTCAGTCCTGTGCCAGCATCACAGTTGTCGTAGTCATTGTGTCATTGCATGCCCCTGAGGATCTTCTTCCTTTTCGTGGACCTTCTACCAAGTATGATGTTCTTCAGGGTCTCTCCCGAGGTCATATCCAAAATGTGTGAGATGAAGTCTCCCCCTCCTTGCTACTAAGGAGCATTTTGGCTGGACTTCTTCCATGAGAGGTGGGTTCCTTCCATGGTGGGTTCTTCTGGCAGTCTACAGATGGCACTCCAAAAGGATGCTTTAACATAATGAAGAGTTAGCAGAAAATCACTCTGGCAACTCAAGTTGGAGGGGTGGGTGGAGAGAAAGATCAAGAGTGGTAATTTTTCCATAGGGAGAGGTTTTATGGTTGGACAGTGTAGTCAGAAATAACACAGGGAACCCAAAACCATTCCAAGGGAGATGTGTGAAGAGAACACAGCCAAAGTAACCCCAGAGTTGACCGGACTCTGCATCTTCTGCCACCGCTGCCTCAGCTCGGGAGCAACCCCGTTTCTTCACGGAGCTTGGACCTCGGCAACCTGGGTGCTACCTGCTTGGGGCCCCGGGTGTCGCCCACTCAGCCCTCCACAATTTCAGGTAGCCCTCACCTCTTTCCCTGCCCAGCCCTGGCGGAGCTACAGCACACAGGAGCAGCCCCAACCATGCAAGAAAGCCAAGATGATCATCCTAGGATTTTCCAACCCATCAACTGGATTCAGACTCGAATTTACGCCTTCTTTATCTGGGCCTATTTCAACCAAGAGTTTAACATTGTAGAGTTCATGGAGGGTGCAAAGCAGACTTTTGCTCATGTATCAAATTTGCTGTCCCAGTGTAAATTTGATCTTGGAGAGCTTTTTAGTTGGTCCACCGACTGCTTTCTTCTCCCAGACCCCCACTACCGCTCGCTGTTGCTTCCATTCTTCTGCCTTAAGCCTCATTTGCTATTTTCTGCCATCCAGACTGTGAGTTGATTGATTTAATGTCTTCCCATGCAAATCAGGAACCAGTTAAACCAACTTAAAGATTCCATCCTCCTGCCCCTGGCCCCGGCTCCTGACTCAGCCCTCTCTCTGGACAGGTGGCCTACAAGGCAGGGAACGCACAGTCCGTCCATCAGTACACCATCAGCAATGATGAGCCTCTCTTCCTGCGGGCCCGAGCCAATGCTGCAAACCTCAGTGAGGTACAGCAAGAGGGGGTGGCAGTCCTGGTCTCTGCTTCCCTGCATGGACAGCCACTTGACTAAGCAATGGTCCAGCCACATGGGTGATGTCTGCCCCAGCAGAGGTTATATAGAGCGGGTTCTTTTAAACATAGTCCATACAGCTGACTTTAGGGGCTGATCTGTGCTTTAGAGGAAAGGAGCACAACCTTTAGTAGGAATTAGCAGGTGGAGGACTTGAACCACTGAATATATCATGGGGTAGGAGGGACTGGAATTGAAATAGTATAAAAGAGTATCTGGGAGCTCAGGTTTTAGCTCCAAGCTGCATTGTCTGGTCTTTGGTTCTGCCACTTACTAGGTGTGTGACCTTGGGCAAGTTCTTTCCCTTAGTTTTCCCTTTGGTAAAATGAAGATAATACTAGTCTATTCTTCAATGGGTTGTTGTGAGGCTTCAGTGAGCTAACACGCGCACACATACAGAGAAGGGGGCTTTAAAATATTTCGTGGAAATATTTCATGATCTTTTCCTTCCATTTCCTCCACAAACTTTTTGAATCCCCCTTGTGTGTTTGTGTGTATAAAGCACTTGGTTAGAAGAATATGTGCAGTGGTAGCTATTACTCTTAGATATGAAAGCATCCATGATCCCAGCTTTTACCTCTGTGTCTTCTAGGGAGGGGACTTTCTTGGTTGTCTCTCTGCATAGTTCCCAGGTCTTTGGGGTCTGACCTGAGAAATGGGTGGAGAGTAGAAATAGAAGGAACAACAGAGACTAAATTGATTCACACAGAGAAAGGGAGGGGAGACTTCCAGCAAAATAAGCTCTTGAAGTATGGAAGGGGGACAGGAGTGGGCATGCGAGGAGCAAGGGAAAGATCCAGAGGAGTTAGAGGCTAGAAATAGTTAGAGGCAACAAAGGATTCCAGCAGGAACTGCTCTTGAGTGGGGTAAAGAGCATGGAGAGAGATGAAGATGGCCTTTCCAGGAATGTTTCTATAGCATGCAATGCTATTTCACCTTTGCCATGTCTTTAAGACTTTGGTGAGGGCTTCCGTTTATTTCCCAAGATTTCTAGGGTTCATTTTCTACTTCTTTTCATTGATGCCTTGTATGTCAAGATGCCTTAAGGCAAAAACAAGAAGGTTGGTTGTATTCAGGTTATATGATTTCTGTGGTTCTTGGTCCTTCCTAGAAAGGTTGTTTATGGAGTCTACAAAAATGCTCTCACTTGAACATGATCTGTCCTCTCCTGAATCCCTCTAGAAACTCTACAAGAGCAGCTGGGAAAACCAGAAGGTCAAAGGGTTTGAACTGCGTCTTGACTCCTTGACCTTCCTGTCAGCCAAAGCCAAGAGGGATCTGGCAAGTGAGGTGAGTGGCTGTTCAGCCTGCACAGGGGACCAGGACAGCCTATCATGCTAAGTCTAGGAAAGTCTGAGCAAGTTCTTAATTTACATGAGTGTTCTTACCTGTCAGTGGGGACGGGGTGACCACCATATGGGATGATTATGCAAATGCCTACTTGATGGCTTGCCATGCACAGGTTTCAGTAAACAGTAATGGTTATTAGTAACAATTACATAAAAATTAACATCCAGTCAAATTCTCCGTTTTTATAGATCAATTGAAGATGCCCTGGTGGCACAATGTTTAAGTGCTTGGCTGTTTACGAAAAAGTCAGCAGTTTGAAACCACCGGCTGCTTTATGGGAGAAAGATGTGGCAGTCTGCTTCCGTAAAGATTTCCAGCCTTGGAAACCTTTTGGGGCAGCTCCACTCTGCAGCCTAGGGTTGCTATGAGTCAAAGTAGAACTGACAATAAAGGGTTTGCTTGTTGGTTTTTGTTCTGCTTTAGGATAAACACTGGACCGCCATGTTGGTTTGAACGGCAAGGTTGGTGGTTCACGTTCCCCAGCTGCTCTTCAGAAACCCTATACAGGGTCACTATGAGTCAAAACCGACTCGACAGCACTTAACAACAACATTCCCAAAGAGATGTTAAGGTGGCTTTCATAACAAGCAATAGGCCACTTAAAAATCAATCTAGAAAGAGTGATCACAAATAATATAGAGAAAAGGCAGAATTTCATGAAAAAATGGGAAAAGACTTAGTATAGGCAGAGTAGTCCATTTGGAGCTGAGCTTTTTGGCATTCAAGGCAAAATGGCCAGTAATGGGGAGCTCTGTATGTATCGGCCGATTCGATAAAGAAAACTTTTGATGATACTCATTCTAATCAGATGGTGTCATTTCGTTTTGTTTTAACTTTGGTGCCTGTGGTTTGGAGCTTAGCAATTCCTTTTGTAGATGATTAAGTTACGCTTGTTCTTATCTTCTTACCTAGGTGAAGTACAAGGAGGATTACGAGAGGTCCCGGGGGAAGCTCATCGGGGCAAAGGATGCCCAGGGGGATTCGCAAATGAGCCACTCACTGCACGTGTCCAAGCTGCAGAGTGAACTGGAGTACAAGAAGGGGTTTGAGGATGCCAAATCCCAATACCACCTCTCCCTGGATATGGTCCACCTTGCCCATGCCCGCAAGGCTCAGCATTTAGCCACAGACATAGGCTACAAGACGGCATCTCATCACTTCACCGCTCTGCCCACAGACATGAAGGTGGAATGGGCCAAGAAGGCTTATGGTTTACAGAGTGATGTAAGCTGTGTGCATATGTGTACCCGTATGTGCTGGCTTTGGTACAAGCCCTTCAAGACATTTGTTGATATTAATGGTCCACTTATTAGGGTCCCTGTTTCTGGATCCATAAATAGTAAATGTGTTAGCTTCCATTGGGGTTTAATTTCAGCAGTTCAAACTTACCAGTCATTGCTTGGAAACCCTAGGAGGGTTTTCGCTATGAGTCGGAACTGACTTGACTGCACTTAACAACAACAACAACAATGCTCATTTTTAGATTTTGTAATAACATAGAGAAAAGCAGAGAACTCCTGTTTTCCTCCATGGAATTCTCAGCTACATAGGTTTTTCCATATTTCCTTTTATTGTAAGGCGTGGGATGAGGGTGGGGTGGAGACCTACTCTTGTGACATTCTTACCTGTGAGCACTCATCACGAATACTCATTCCAACATTAACAGCCCCCCAATTTTGGAATGAGCAGCTTGCTAATTCCATTCCTTCAGAGGCCCTCACCTTGATTCTATGTTCTTTATGTCTTCAGTTCATTTTTGGAGGCGGTAGAGAAGTAATGACTTTTTTTTTTTAATGACATTTTATTGTGTTTAAAAAAGTTTACACAGAAAAAGGGTTTTCATTTAACAATTTCTACAGGGATTATTCATTGACATTGGCTACATTTTCCACAATCATTTCTGACCATTAGATCTCCTATGTTGTTGTTGTGAAGTGCCGTCGAGTCGGTTCCAACCCACAGTGACTCTGTATAGGGTTTCCAAGGAGCAGCTGGTGAGCTTGAACCACCAACCTTGCAGTTCAAACAGCTTCGCAGTCTGGCGCATTAACCCACAGAGCCACACCACGACTTTCAGTATTCATGGGTGGTGTTCTTTATTTTATGAGACAGTTGACGTGTACAAGAGAGTGGGTGGTCTGAAAAGGTGGGTTAGTCTGTTACATGCTGGGGGAGTGCCCATATATCTATCCTGGGAGGGTTGTTTCAGGACAGATAGATGATACACTAGCTTTACAGCAGCATCTGTTTAAATGATTTCCACTAAAACCACTTGGTCAATGGCAAGTAAAGAAATAAGAAATACCTCCCATCCCCCTTGGAGATATCTAGGAAGGAATGTCTCCGTGGGATGTCTCGGATGTCTTGTGAAATTCTCTCCAATAGCCCCCCACCTGCATTCTGTTGTGAATCTTCATTTTCTTCTCCCCTGCATGTCATTTTAAACAAGGAAACTGGCCCGGCAGACAATGAAGCCGGGCTTCTCTCCTAGGTAGAAACGCATCCTTAATGAGGGACAAGGTTCATTTGCCACTCCAGCTCCTCCCCCAATGGGGTGGGGTGCAGCCTGAAGCCACCCTAGACAAGGGTGGTTCCAATTAAAGGAGAAATTAATTTACCTTTTGGAACCCTACCTGTGACTGTGCAGAAACTGATAAGACAAAACGGCATCTAATCTGACTCAGCAGGTACCTGGAGAAGCTGGCCACCGTTAATAGCCCTTTAAATGTCTGCGCACCAATAATGGTCTGTCTCTCCCCCCAACCCCTTTCTCCTTTGTCAGAACCAATACAGGGCAGATGTGAAGTGGATGAAAGGCTCAGGCTGGGTCACCACCGGGTCATTAAATGTGGAGCAGGCGAAGAAGGCAGGAGAACTCATTAGTGAGGTGAGGTTTCCTGACAGCACGCAGCAGGCCTGGTTGCAATAGGCGTGCTGTGAGCCTGTATAAAATTAAAATAATTTCCACTCAAAAGGCAAAGAAAAAGGCGAAGCCACATGAAAGGCCTACAAACCCTGGCTAGGGCTGGTAATTAGAGGGAAACCACATACCAAACACACCCCAGTAGGGGCCCATAGAGCCTAGGCAAAAACAAAGTGGGTGACAAATGATATTATGAATAATAATGACAGTCAAACGGAGCTCAATTGCTACCCACCAACTCACCTTTTTAATGAAGGAGCACAGACCAGATGATGAAAAGATACATTATTGCTCTCCAAAAGGCTTGGCAAGACAGATAGATCTTTTTTTTTTCTCCCACCACACTGTCAACAGTTTGTGGTCACGTGGTATCGGTCACGTGACAGGTTCTCTCTGGAGACAGGTGGGTCTTACTTCCAGTTAAACCTACTCTGGCCACCCCGGTTGGACCCTGAGGCATCTGGGCCGACAAAAAGAGCCCTTGCCTCACATTTGAGGACCATGTCACAGAGCAGCTTTGTTTGATTGTTTGTTTTTTAATGCACTTTATTTTCTAGAGCAGTTTTTGATGTTGTGAAAAATTGCAGAGAAAGTACAATGAGTTCCCATGCCCTCCCTCACCAGCCCCCTAGTTTCCCTTGTTATTAATGTTTTGTATTATTGGGGTAGATTTGTTAACCATTGGTGAATTAATACTGATGATATTATTATTAACTAAAGTCTACAATGTACATTAAAAAAAAAACCTAGCTATGGTTGTCAATTCCAACACATGGTCACAACACCCCCCCATGATTCCGCACCCCTTTGTATGTGTGTATGTGTGTGTGTGTCAGAGTAGAACTGATTTCCATAAGATTTTCAAAGACTGTTTGTTGGGAAGTGAACTATCAGCAGAACTTCTGCGGTGCATCTGGATAGACTCAAACCTGCAATCTTCCAGTTAGCAGTTTGCACAACCCAGGGACTCCTTTTAAAAGAGTTGCTCAGGGTTTCCCAAACACAGCATTGTTGACATTTTGGGCCAGATAGTTCTTTACTGAGGAGGGAGTGTTGTGCATTGTAGGGGGTTAGCAGCTTTCCTGGTCTTGACTCAATATATGGAATCCTGGTGTAGTGCTGTAGGATAAGCACTGGACCACTAAGTCAGTTTAAACCACAAGGTCAGTGGTTCAAACACCAGGCACTCCTCGGAAACTCTGTACAGGTTCAGTATGGGTCAGAACTGGCTCAAAAGCACTAAACAACAACAACTCACTAAATGCCATTTGTTCTTGTTTTAAGTACCATGGAGTTGGTTCAGACTCATAGTGACCCTGTACAGCGTTTCCGAGGCTGTAAATCTTTACAGGAGCAGAACACCTCATCTTTCTCCCGCGGAACCGCTGGTAGTTTCGAACTGCTGACCTTGCGGTTGGCAGCCCCACTCGTAACCACTACGCTACCAGAGCCCAGTAGCTACACCAATATGTCTCCAGACAGTGCTAAACCATGCCTAGGGGGTAGAATTGTACTGGCAGAGAAGGACTGCGTCAGAGACACTAAGGGTTGTCCATTGGTTCATGTCACATAGAGGCAGAATGCTATCAACTACCTAGATCCACCTTTTGGTGGTCTCTTTGGGGAGGGAACTTCTTACAAAACAAGTATTTCTTGAGTTGCCTTCAAAGTAGATTAGTCTTTCTGGAGTTTTCTGGGAGCCAATAATGGCCATGATTTGTAAGACTTCCATCTTAGTGATGACTCTCATAGGCCCTGCTTTGGAGGAGACTTTCTTGCTGATTCTGGAGTTAATACATGAGAAACCTATGCTGCACTAGATTTGGCTGGATACCGAGGGCTGTGTCTCCATAAGACAGCCTAGTCAACAAAACCCCAACCACACCATGAGAGAGTGTTATAAAATACTTATTTGATTGGTTAAAAACGTACACTCTATGATTCCATGCAAATAGCCACCGTTTTAGTCCCCTGGAAATGTACTTCAATGAAAAAAAAAAAAAAGGATGAATTGAAGTATGATTTTCAGAATACATGAAAATCACACACCTCAGTCTTTGCCAGTGGACAGAAATTTTGTAGTTTTCCTTTGTCTTGTTTCAGTATCTTTTAAATTATATGACGCCTCCTTTGAATCCTTTTCCTAAGTCTTGTAATATTGTAAAGAATGATTGTATATATTTTAACTAAACCAAGCTCTAAGTGATCACATGGTCTGTGCTCAGTCACTGTTAAATCAAGTGTTTTGATTATGATCATCTCTGCCTAGTCCTTTTGTGGAAACAAAACAGAACACTGCAATTAATAAATGTCCTTATGAATTGTCTTTCTTGCTTACCGGCCCCAAAAGAGGATACGTAAACAAACGTGAGAGTCTATTTGAAGCTTTAGAAAAAGATATCCTGTCCTGAGAATCTCTCCTGGAGTCTTTTACTGGCACAACCTAATTTCTAGATGTTTTCTTGACGCCGTGTAGAAATACTTTACTGTTAATTGACATGAGGTTATTCTTAAATGGAAACAAATACTAACTTGACGGCATGGAGAAGATAAAGATGGGGAAAGCAGAATAATAATTATGGTCACAAATTCACTCTAATCTCAAGCAACCTGTGATTCTTCCTTTCAAATAGCATGAAAAGAGCACAAAATGCACTGCTTTGATCTTTTTTCTGCTCAACAGAGGAAGTACCGTCAACCTCCTGATGCTTTGAAGTTCACCAGTATAGAAGACACTCCGGAGATGGTCCAGGCCCGGATTAGTTATACCCAGGCCGTGGATGTAAGTGATAATGTATATACATTACAGCTGTAAGAGGGGGCTATGATTGCAGTGCAGGGGCTCTTGAGTTGGCTCCTTCTGTTGTCCTACAGATGAAGGGGCTACTTGTCCCACCTTAGTGGGGGTGGTTCTTCATTAGGATGCAAATGGCATGTGACTGCACTTAGGATGCCAAGTGAAGCCCCACCACCCCACAGCCCTGAGGTGCTCCTTGCTTGCTATTTGCATGAATCGCAGATTTGTCTGTGGTTGGGCCTTTTGCTCTCTTCTTTCATTTAAAGGGGTGGTTCTAGAACTAGCACTTTGGGTGAAATGCCCGGTAATTGGAAGAGCGAAGGCATGCCTCGGGCTTCTTGGGACCCAAGGGCTGGAACTGATACTTCCCGAATTCTCCAAAGACGTTGAAAATGCTTTAGGTCTGATTTATTCCCCTTAGATGAACTTTGGAACCACTGTTTCATATCCCATTGTGGCTATTGTTAAGTGCCATTGAGTCAGTTCAGATCCATAGCAACTCTGTATAGGGTTTCAGAGGAGGAGCTGCTGAGCTTGAACCACCAACCTTGTAGTTCAAATGGCTTTGCAGGGTTTTTTTGGGGGCACATTAGCCCACAGCACCACACCAGGACTCCTCAAATCCCTTAGATGATGTGAAATCAAAATTTAGCCCCTAGATTACTCTAGTTTGAAGACTAAACTGAACAGTGAAGTTTGCTTGAAGACTAAACTGAATGGTGAAATCCTATTAGAACTCACTTTAGGACATGGATGGGCCCTGTTCAGCTGATTCTGTGGAGAAAGGCCCACAGATCTTTATACAAGGCAGGCATGGCTTTTACATTTCTTTAAACCGTTCAACTTGCCACTGGGGTGAGGAGAGGGATTTTATAATCTTGGGTGAGAATGTCAAAATTGGATCCCCGCTTTCCAATTTCACAAACTATTCTGGTTGTTCCTCTGAAATTGCCTGAGTACCTGTTTGGATGTGTGATGAGTGAGTCACAGGGCTATGGATCCAGGAATTTATTACTAAAAATATCTGTTCAGCAGCATCAATTGAATTTTGAAAAATGTCAATGATCAGGCACAAATGTTTGTATAGAGAACAAGAAAGAAGAAAGAAAGAAGGAAAAAAAAAAAACCCCTGCTTTTTTCTTACTCTAACCAACTCTAGGGGGCACTGCTGTGATGTGTAGAAATTTGGACACTTCTGATGAGATTTGGGATGGGAAAGCCCTGTTTAGAAATTTTCCCTGGTGGTGGGGAGATTTTACTGATAGCAATGCCATGTATCCTTGTTAACTATTAGGCTATCACAAGCTGGTATCGGAGTCATGGGTGGCTAGATCCTTAGATTCACCGAGGGGACATTTATTAGTGCGTGAATACTGATGGGGCAGAGGGATGGAGATTGAAGGCAGTGTGGAGAAAACGTCACCAGTGGAAGAGTTTCTTCTGCCATGTCCCTGAATCTCGAAGCCTTCTCACAGTGTATCATCATTAATCACAGAATTATCAGATTTTACTAGGGCTCATTTTCTCGTTTGATATCAGTCTTAGTGGAATACTATAAGTGCAGCGTTATCTGCTAGGAAAGTTTCAGCCTGTCATGTTCTGAGCTGAAAGCAGATGTTAGGGGGAAGGCAATGCATGTCACTGAGCTAGCTGGGAAACACAGGCAGTGGCAAGGAGCTCAGTGTGGCTTGTGGCTGGGTGGAGAGGCGTCTGGTTTAATCCCAAATCTCTCTCCAACCACAGAGGTTATACAAGGAGCAAGGAGAAAACATAAAACATCATTACACGCAGACAGCAGACCTCCCTGAAGTCCTGCTGGCCAAGCTCAACGCCATGAATATCAGTGAGGTGAGGCGGCTAATGGTGGGAAATATGGGAAAGCAGGTCCCGCCCCACAGATGTGTGGTCCCGCGCTTTGCTTAGTGTTCTGCCCTCACTATCTTGAAATTTGGGTACTGAAACCTGTGAAAACCATTGTCAGAGAAGGAAGACACGGTATTATCCATTAACGAGAGCAATAAAAAAATGGTGACTACACTCTGTCAAAGAGGGAAAATTTGCAAAACCCAGAAAAACAAGGCTTTCCCTTTGAATTTGAGCTCTAACAGGCTTCAGTGTCTTTGTTTTTAAACAAGGGGACTGCATCTGCATTCCAAATGTTGTTGTTAAGAGCCATTGAGTCAGTTCCCATTCACAGTGACCATTGCAAAGGCTTCCCAAGAAGTGAGTTTGGACTGCAAACTGGAAGATTATCCTACAGCGCCACACCAGTACTCTTGCATTGGACCCTGCAAATTGTAGGGTCCCTGGGTGGGGCAAATGGATAAAATGTTTGGCTGCTAACTGAGAGTGTTGCAGGTTCAAATCCATCCATAGGCACCTCAGAAGAAAGACCTGAAAAATCAGCTATTATAAGCCCTATGGAGTACAGTTCTACTGTGACACTCACAGGGTCACCGTGAGTTAAAATCAACTCAATGGCAACTGCTTTTCTTCTGCAAGTTGTGTAGCCCATCCTGCAGAAGAGTTAAGTTCATGCAAAAGAATCAAGCTGGGTGAACTGTCTGTCTTCTGTGATGAGCACCCACAATATGGGAGTGGCAGAATCCAGCTGAGTGCAGCCAGCCAACAACTTGGGAGCTTGCCTGTTTTCCTCCAGGATCCCTATAAACTCACCCGCTTTGATAGAGACATTTGTCTTCTTATCTTCATGCAAATGCCAACACAGATCTCTTCCAGTCAAATTGCTGCTCAGAACGTCTGAATCAGGCTCCAAATCCTTGCTTTCAACCACTCTGTGGCTCTACCTCTGAGGGTGGGTAGGAGCAGGTCCCAGCTCTGTGGTGGTTTTGGCTAAGCCACAATGATCTCTAACACTAACTGGTGGGTAAAAAGTCCCACAGCAAACCTCATTTTGGTAAAATAGAATTTTACCAGTGTGTCACATCTTCCCAACAGACCCGCTATAAAGAATCCTGGAGCAAACTTCGAGAAGGCGGGTATAAACTGAGGTTGGATGCCCTTCCATTCCAGGTGGCAAAAGCTTCTGGAGAAATCATAAGTGATGTAAGCACCATGATGTTTAATATTCACCAATTTTTGCTCCTTTGCCCCAGTCCTGTGGTTAAACTCCTACCCTCCCCAGACTATGTTAGGGAAATCAGATAGTGACAGGTGAGAAAGAAAATAACATACTACAAAAAATCCCCTAGCCTGGGATGCAAAGCTAAATGCTAAACTGTCAACCTGGGCCCCGCTGATGAATCTGCCACCAAGCATATTCACAAGGCCAGTGCATAAGCTAACAATGAATGCACCCACCTTCTTCCTGCCTGGGCCGCCCCAGTGCTAAAGCAACCTCCTGCTATTCCACAGCAGAACCCTTTAGGCCTTGGGAGGCTTGCATATGAAAGGATAGGCCTTTGATGGTTCCCATGTGGTTCCTTTCAAGTCACCCAGTTACAGTCAAGAGAACAAAAGGTTTTTGCCCAATATCCACCTCTTCCATTCCGAGTCCCTTGTCACTGAGCATTACTCTCTCCTGCTCTCCTTTCCTTTAGTATAAATACAAAGAAGCATTTGAGAAAATGAAAGGCCAGATGCTTGGCTCCCGGAGCTTGGAAGATGATATCAGCCTTGCACATTCTGTGCATGCGACCTTGCTGCAGAGCGATGTAAGTCGGGGACAATGAACAAGGAGCCATGTAAGTCGGGTACAATGAACAAGGAGCCATGTGCCCCCACCGGATGGTGCTCAAGGCACAGCCAACTCATTTCATTTGCCCTTCTGGGTGTGGGCATGGGCTCTGTCACCACCTAGCTGGGTGGCATTGTTAAGTCACTTAACTCCTCTGGGCTGCATCTTCTTTCTCTAGTTGACCTGTGAGCTCCCTTTGAGGTCCGGTGCTCTATGACTATGACCACTGGCCATAAATAGGAGCCTGTGCTCTGGATCTGACCTACAGATGTGGTTTTTCTGGTCTGCAGAGTGGTTGGTAGGAAATCGAATTGATTGCAAATTTTCACAAATGGAAAGGTTTGCATAGACTTCTGGCCAGAAGCTAGGTCTGGATTCTCCAAGGCTACTACTGTTGGTTCCGCAAGGTCACTTTGAACCACAAGGTTGCTGGTTCAAACTCACCAATCGCTCTTTGGAAACTACACAGGTCTCTATGAGTCGGAACGGACTCGACAGTACTCAACAACAACAGTTGGCTAAGTTGATTACAGAAGGTTCCATGGAGAATGGACGTGTTGTCTCCTGGTCATGTAGCCTCTCCTGCATCTTCCTTCACCATTTCTGCCACCTTCCTGACCCTTGTAGGCATCTGAGTTTGCAACATGTGACTGCAACCCTGTAGTTGCTGCTACCTATGCATAGGCATGTCTCCTTGCACCTACGTGCTGACTGATGACAGGGATGAGATCCAATGTGTGTCTAACATGTTACAGAAGACTAAACACTTCCATAAACCATAGGAGCTCTGGGGACATAGTGGTTAAGTAATTGGCTGCTAACCAGAAGGTCAGTGGTTCAAACCCACCAGTGGCTTCAGGGCAAAAAAATGTGTCAGTCTTCTCCCACAGAGATTACAACCTTGGAAACTGCATGGAGCAGTTTGGTTCTGTCTTTACGGTTGCTATGACTTGGACTCCTACCACTGGTCTGTTGGTTTGTCACACTGTGGTGGCTTGTGTGTTGCTGTGATGCTGGAAACTGTCACTGGTATTTTGGGTGCCGACAGGTTCACCCATAGTGGACAAGTCTCAGCTAAGACAGACTCAGAAGAAGGAGAGGTGAACTACTTCGGAATGGTTAGGCACTGAAAACCTCATGACCAGCACTGAAACACTGTCAGCACAAGAAAACCGAATATTGAAACATGATGAAGAGCACCAGAATACTGTCAGATATAGGGCCGGAAGATGAGCCCCTTAGGTTGGAAGGCACTCAAAATATGACTAGGAAAGGTCTATCTGACTCAGTAGAGTCGACTGTGATGGTGCGAATGGAGTAAAGCTTTTGGGATCTTCATTGGCTGATGGGTCCCAACCCAAAATGAGAAACTGCTGCAAGCATCCATTAATAATCAAAACCTGGAATGTATGAAGTATGAATCTAGAAAAATTGGAAGTTGTCAAAAATGAAATGGAATGCATAAAGATTGATTTTCTTGGCATTAGTGAGCTGAAATGGACTGGTATTGGCCATTTAAATCTTACAAAATCACATGGCTTACTATGCTGGAAATGGCAAACTGAAGAAGAATAACACCACATTCATCATCAAAAAGCACATTTGGAGACATATCTTGAAGTATAATTCTGGCTGTGATAGGATAATATCTATACACTTACAAGGAAGTCGAGTTAACCAATTAGTATTCAAGTGTACGTACCAACCACTAAAGCCAGTGACAATGAAATGAAGAATTCTACCAACTTCTTCAGTCTAAAATTGATCCAACATACAATCAAGAGGTATTGATAATTACTGGTGATTAGAATACAAAAGATGGAAACAAAGAGGAAGGACCAGTAGTTGGAAAATATGGCCTTCATGACAGAAATGATGCTAGAGATCGCATGATAGAGTTTTGCAATACCAGTGACTTCTTCATTGAAAATACCTTTTTCAAACAACATAAAAGACAATTATATACATGGACTTCATCAGATGGAATACAGAGAAGTCAATTTGACTACATCTGTGAAAAGATACTGTGGAAAACTCCATATCATCAGCCAAAACAAGGCCAGGGGCAGACTGTGGAGCAGACCATCAATTGCTCATATGCAAGTTCAGGCTGAAGCTGCAGAATATAAAAACAAGTCTACACGAGCCAAAATATGACCTTGACTAGATCCCACCTGAATTTAGAGATCATCTGAAGACCAGATTTGCTGCATTAGACTCGACCACATTCATGAAAACCAGAGGAGTTGTGAGATGACATCAAGGACATCATACAGGAAGAAAGCAAAAGGTCTTAAGAAGACAAGAAAGAAGGAAAAGACCAAAATGGATGTCAGAAGAAACTCTGATGTTTGCTCTCCAGTGTACACATGCTAAAGCAAATGGAAGAAATGAGGAGGTAAAGAGCTGTACAGAAAATTTCAAAGGGCAGTTCGAGAAGACAAAGCCAAATATTATAATGAAATGTGCAAAGACCTGGAGTTAGAAAACCAAAAAGGAAGAACACATTCAGCATTACTCAAGCTGAAAGAACTGAGGAAATAATTTAAGCCTCATTTTCAATACTAAATGATTCTTTGGCAAATATTGAACGATGGCAGAAAGCACCAAAAGAAGATGAAAGGAATACACAGTAACTGTACCAAAAGGAAATGGTTGATGTTTAACCATTTCAAGAGGAAGCATATGATCAAGCGCCAATGGTACAGAAGGAAGGAGTCCAAGGTGCACTGAAGGCATTGGCAATGAACAAGGCTCCAGGAATTGATGGAATACAAATGCAAAATTTTCAATAAACTGATAGAACACTGGAGGCATTCACTCATCTCTGCCAAGAAATTGGGAAGACAACTACCTGGCCTACTAATTGGCAGAGATCCCTATTTGTGCCCATTCCTAAGAGAGGTGACCCAATAGAATGCAGAAATCATGTGACAATCTCATTAATATCGCATGCAAGTAAAATTTTGCTAAGGATAATTCAAAAGTGGCTGTAACAGTACATTTACTGGGAACTGCCAGAGGCTCAAGCAAGAATCAGACAAGAACATGGAATGAGGGGTGTCATTACTGATGCAAGATTGTTGTTGTTGCTGTTGTTGTTAGGTGCCATCGAGTCGGTACCGACTCATAGCGACCTTATGCACAGCAGAACGAAACACGGCCGGATCCTGGGCCAACCTCACTATCATTGTCACGCTTGAGCCCATTGATGCTGCCACTCTGTCAATCCATCTCATTGGGGGCCTTCCTCTTTTTCTTTGACCCTCCACCTT